GAGGGAGGAACGCCGGCCCAGGGGAGGCAGCAGGCCCTGCAACCGCCTGCCTGGTCACCTCCACGGTGATCACCGAGACTCGCATATGCTAATTTATATGAACTCTTTACATCTGTTCTTTCGTACTTAATAACATTTTTGCACATTTACCAGTTCAATAAACAGGAACCAGCAACCTCATCTGCAGATGATGATTCCAATACATCAGAAGAAGGTAGCTTAGCATTTTCTAACAGCCACGTCAAAGTTTGTAATCTATCCTTATATTAAACTGCACCATCCCATTTCAGTCCGCACAATTAGAATCTTGTTTCTGATTTAAAGTTCTAAAGACTTTTGTTTTTCATACACCTCTGCTAGGCTAACAGTGTCCTTTCCCTTCCCTCCTATCAGTTAACTCTCCACTGAGTCTACAACTGTTCGTTCTAAATAAAAGTTTTGTTTTTTTTTTTAATACATTCCTGTCCTTTCTTGTTTGCCACTAGACACTTTGTCAGTATTCCACCATGGTTCCAAATCCCAGGAACACAGTCCCTCTTCACGGCCGATGTTGGGCCACCTTGACTGCCTTTTTAGCCAAATCCTTAAGCAAGATCAGCAACAATCGTATATATGACCAAAGCTTTTCATTGCCTTCGAATCTCATCTACCAAGGAGATAACCACTGACTAGCAGTGCATAGCTTTTTATAACTTCATTGAGTCATTTTGCTGTGGCTGACTAAGCAGAAGGGTTACTGATATTAACGATAATAGAAGTTTGAAAGTGGTTGTAAATGTGGTTGCTATATTGATATAATTGTTCTTGCCAAGATTCTCCAGGTAGGTGATTAAACTCACCTACAAGAATACAAGAAATGTATTTTTAGTGGGATAGGCAAGTTGAAATATAAGCAACAGTATTAAAAATGCTTTGTCTGAAATGGGAAAGTCATTTGTGACATTTGTGGCAATTGACTTGCCATAAAAATTGAATTTCACTGGTTCAATGATATAAAAAGGCCATCAAACCTACACAACCATTGTGTGTGCCTAGACACCACCAAAAATGAGTGCCATAAGGTGTGAGACATTTCAAAGCCATCATTAACAGTCCTAAAGAACACCCAAATGATCATACTCGGGAATTTTAAGATGGGCTGTTTGGTGCTTGGGCTGCAGATTCACGGGCATCCGAATCCATCATTTCTCTACTGAGAGGGCTGGATCTCTCCCGTCTCTCAGGAGCACATACTTCTCCCTCCCTCTTGCTCTCCGGACCCTTCACTGAGCCACATTACCTTACTTACATAGTAGAAAAACATCCAGCTCTTTGGCCTAGCAACTTGCGGGCTGGTCTGAGCAAGTTAAAGCTCAGGGAGACGTCTGACAAGCGCTGAGGCCAAAACAAGGCAAGTACCAGAAGTGCACGGCCACAAAGCAGAAGAAAGGGAGAGGCAGAGGTGAGGTGTGAGGGATTTCCCCCTTTCAGCAGTGGAGCTTCTTAATTTGGCTTACCATCTCATGGGAACTGCAGTTTTGGCAGCTTGGAGAAATATCATCATGGTTTCTGTAAGGAAAAAAATGAATGTTACCCTATAGCTGATAATATGTGCTGATAACCAGCTGATCATCTGGAATGGTTTTCCAGCAAGCTGAAAAATACAAAATAGGCCTGAATGAATCTCTGATCTAAGCACTCCTATAATATTGACTACATCGTCATGCAGCAAATCGATATTCATGATGTTAAAATAACTCTAGCCACTTGCGGTAAATTGTTGAGCTGATCATCATCAAATAAAAATTCAAGTATTACTAGTTAGAGTCTCTAACAGACAACAAATTACACCTGTTAAAATAATTTAAGCTGACAATTCAGGTATTGGAAACAGCAGAATACCACTAGAACCTGAATTTCGTGCCAAGTAAAGTTACAACAAGAAAATTTCAAATCGGACCGAATTCTTAGGACACAAGGTGCACGATGCAATGCCTCAGCTTTGTTAAACACAAACCATCTATAGTTTTACATGAACATCTGTGTATGTGCTGCAGGCAGCTAAGAAGTAAAAGAAGTATAAAAGTTGTTTACTACATGGCTAAACAAGCACTGTCAGCAAAGCTTCACATCATGGCGGGCATGAAAACTTCCAAGTCTTTCAACAGGCTGCAGACCAAGGTAATTTCAAAACATCTTACGAAGGCTTGAAAACCTCCCCCGACCTTAAAGTCCATTTCATAGCAAAAACTGGCAACAGTCTTAAATGAATAGAAAAAGGAAAAAAGATGTCCTGTCTTACTGAATTGAAGAATTCTGGAGCTCACTGCACTTGGGCATCTCTCGCTTCTGATGAAGCCCCACAGCTGTTCATCTAGCATGGCCAGAAACTATGACATGGATGTCTCAAGGCAAGGCAGCAGCCAGCTGCACTCGTGCCAAAGACACAAACTTTTGAGTCTTTCTCTTCCCTCCCTGTATTATTATACGGAATAAGATAATTCCTTGGGGATTCAAGAACAGGAATGGGGCAAACAGCATCTATTAACAAACCTTAGTATTGTGACAAGGTACCAGAGTTTATGCATTGAAACTGCCTATACAGAGGGTGGCAAAAGCCAGTTCACCTTTCGGGGAATTAAAGCATCGTTAGTGGAATGGCAGAAGCATTTGACAAGAAGTGAAAGTATAAAATAATATCGCCGTTACCCCTCTTCCTACTGTTCTGCCCAACTTGTGAAGCCAGCTCCACAGTCACTGCACCCTAGTTAATACAGGCAAGGTAAGAGCCCAAACGTCATTTCGTAAAATACTAACGATTGAAACAACAATCCTGCAGGTTCAGGTACACAACTCCTATGGCCATAGAAGGACCGACAAGCAGACAAATGGCACGTTACAAGGACATACTTCATGGCAAAACCTTAATTCTGTGAACTTAGTGCCATAATAGGAAAGACTGCCTCTAAAAAGCATCTGCCATGGCAGGAATTAAGTGCCAACACTGCTAAAGCCTATGGGCAAAAGCAAACTGACACAATGAAGCACAAAAGTTGCCACAAACAACTGAGTGTAGTGAATATATATACACACCCTCCTCTGGTTGTTATCATTGTGAAAAATCAGCCTAATTTCTCACCAAAGAAATGACAAAAACTGAATTCAGTCTTTCAGTGCTCACTGAATCAACACCATCATAGACCGTGGAATAAGTGCTTTAAGCTACACAGCAACAGGGAGTTAAATTCAGAGTAAACACAAAGCGATATCTTCACAGACCTACATTTTCTGTTTGTTCAGTCATGCCAATCAGCGTGTCTGAACATCCAAATGCTCCTGACAAATTGCTCACAAGTAATCCCTAATTGTCATCCACAGTATTTGAAAAACCATTCTACATGGAAAGTGATGTCAAGAAAGCAATTTTACAGGTAACAAACACAGAAATGAATTAAATTCTAGGCATAAATCAACTACCCTGAATCACTAACTACCCAGATTTGACAACTCTCTGAAATATTTGAACTTGCTAACTCTTCTTTATGAAATAGTTGAATTTTAAAAATTCAACTGTAATCTGATCAACTCAGTCTCCGAAAACATAAGAGCCATCAGAAGGAAACCTCTCAGTTCAACTTGATCAACACTAGCCAGATTCAATTAAAAGAATCAGATGAGATTGCTTTCAGATGTAATGTCTAGTTCCACACTTGCATTCAGGAACACAGAAAAAGCATAAAAATAATCCTACTGAAAAAAAAACCGTACTAAATTTAGGCACAAACTAAGGCTTAGACAACATGCCTTAAGTTTGTTGTCTAAGCATACATTTATGAAGAAAATAATGTATATCTTAATTTTACTTTCAACCTGGAAAAAAAAATAGAAAATTTGAACCAAATGTAGTCAAATTTAAGAAGTCTTCCCGAGTCTTCAGATTTTCCTGTGTGGGGAAAAACAGTGCAGGAGCCATGGCAGTGAGGAAGAAAGCTACTTGGCTCCACACTCAGTATCAGAGCCGAACGAGCACTGCCTATACTCATCTGCTGGCTATTTTTGTGCCTGCGTTTGTAGTTCTGCTTGACTAGAGGCTGTGAAATCTGAGAGGTCTTGGATTGCTTCAGTTTTCCTTCACGGTACAGTGTATTCTCATCTTTGCAATACCCAGCCCAGATGCTGTTGATTGCAGATGTGGAGCCATCTGCTTTCAAGGAATGAGGCCTTGAGAAGGTGAGAATTTCTCTCTTGGTTAGGGGAATGTGCAAGAACTCTATGAAACACATTTATATTCAAATCCCATCTTTTTGAATCAATAGCAGGATCTCCTCAACTCCGTTGTTTTACATTAGTTGGAGATCACAGCCCTGCTGCTTTTGAACAGCCTTCCGTTGGTCAGCTAGCTTATGCATCTGCACAAAGTCTTA